GGCTGAGAGCAGAACTGCGAACCTTGAGAAAAAAGGAAAAACTAAAATATCAGCAGGAAGTCACAGCACCTTAACCAGCATAGTCAGTAGGACGTACGCCGTCATCTCTACCGTCACACCGCTAGATTGGTCAGGCTTCAGCCAGTCAGATGTCACACTGGCCTCCTGCCAGTACCTGAGTACAGCAGGATTACCTGAACAAAAACACAAAAACAAGTTTAATTTCCTTTATCTTAAGCCTCTATTCTACTGACACCTACTCAGCGCTGAAAATGTCATGTCAGCAGGCTGCATGCCACTGATTGGCCAGGCAGTGATGTCACTTGATGAGCCATGAGACTGAGAATACAACCTTAACTGTTTGAAACCCAGCAGAGTGAGAAACCTACTTACTGGACTCCACGCAGACTGACGTGGTACTCAACTTTAATGCAAAACAACCAAAACCCAGTAGAGTTGAGCTGGTGTTGGAAACGAGGCATTAGTGATGGATGGAGCATGAGCAGTGGAAGGATGTGATACACGTCAGTGACTGTTTTCTGCCTTTCTTCTTACTGATGTATTAATGCCATAAACTTTAAAATCCCGAAATCAATGTAAAGGAAAAGAAGCACACTGACTTTTGAATATTATCAGGGATTCTTTGAGTGGTTTATAAGAAATCCATCACACAATCAAACAGTAACTCAAAAAGCTGCCATTCAGCAAACAGAGAGCCAATCAGAAAGAAGGAAACAAAAAAAACCACACACCTTTTTGCCGTGCCAGTTTCTCCAGGCTGCTGATGAGCTGGAAGGATATCATGCTGTTGGGGTCATGAAGGGTCAGCGCATAGGTCGCCACTGCACGTACGTAAACACTCTTCACACTGAGGGCATGCTGGGAAATGTAGGCTACGGCAGAACTAATACTGTCCTCGTGCCTCTGAAAGCAGGACGGTTTATGAGCAGCTTCTTCAGTATTTGTTTAGCGCTCAGGTAGGCTGATGTGTTGAGTGATGAGACGAGGAGGTGTGGTCTCACCTTAAGCTGCAGGATCCGGTCTCTAATCTTTGTTGCTTTGTGTAGAGCAATCAGTGTAAAGGCTGTCAGATACACTGATTGGTCCACTGCATCTGTCCCCTCAGCCTGCAGCCAATCACAATACACAAAATTAACAAAGCTCTGTCTCACCACAAGAAACATTCAAGTGAGAACAGAAGAAGAAATGGAATAAGCGGAGGCAGAGACCAAGATTCTGTTGGATTTGTAGGGGGACTCCTCAGTGAAGGACCCGTCCGGCTGCTGAGCTTTGAGCACCAGCCAGGTCAGAGACTCTGAGAGAGTCTGATGGTTCACGGAGACCACAGGTTCCGCCGCAGCCAGAGCCCTCACCACCAGGGCCGTGATCCTGACAGACAGCACAGAGGGACAGAAGTACCATGGTGTCATTCTCAGGACCAACCAGCAGATGGCACCAAAAGCACAAGGAGGAACCCGTGCAGATCCACGCGCTCACGTTTGATAAAAGCCAGTCTGGGCTGTACTACAGCAAAACATCTCACCTGAATGTGTTCATGTGTTTCTTTTATTTTAGGAAGCTATGCTGTTAAACTCAAATACTCCATTACAAGTGTGATCCTGTGAGATGGCTGACCGCCCTGTCATAAAACCACAGGTCCATTCTGTCTCACCTGCAGACAGGTGAGGAGGACACTGCTCCCGAGGCTTTGATGTTTACCTACCAGGTGCTGGGCTCTCTATTCCTCCACATGCTGTAGCTCGAGTCTCCAAGTCTGAATGAACTGATGCTGACGAG